ACACACACACACAGAGAAACGAGGGCAAGCAAACTACCACCACACTACATTATCACAGCACTACACTACGCACCACAACCAATACAGGTTTTCATTCCGACCATATGACATAACCTACTTGAAAATTTAATCTTCACCATCTTATTAATTTCAGGCGATTTAAGTGACAGATGCCATCAAAATAAGAATTAAACTCGTTTCCTACTGTTACTGGACAGCTAAATCTGTCTTACGCGAGTTAAGTTCACAGCCTGCAGCTTGTGAAACCTGTGCCAAAACAAATATTTAACCACCTAAGTGTTCACATATTGCTTGACCTAGAAATTCATTATATGTAGAAAGTTAAGCGGCCCATCCACATACGAGTCTGACTTGCGAGTCTGGCTCGGCGGGCTCGACTTGTGAGCCGGGCTCGGATATATTTCACCACACATGCGTAGCAGACTCGGCTCGTGACATCCCACCCACAAACGAGTTTGGCTCAATGAAACCCGAGCTGAGCCGGACTCGCAAGCCATACTCGTACGTGGATCGGCTGCTTTAAAATCTGACCCGGAATTTTTATTGCAACAACTCTTTCAAACCAGGCAGTCTCCTCTCAAGGTATTCTACCCTATTTCTATATAACTGTCCACGCTGATGAAATGACCATTCAAAAATTACACTGAATAACAACACCGATTATGAGAAGCCATGAAAATAAATCATATTTGAATTGCCCTAGTATAACCAATGCTGATGCAAGAGCCAAAAAATCCACCTTTATATGTGGGCTGCTGTGCTCAAATCAGTAAGCAGGCTACCACTGCACATTTCTTAATTAACTTTTGCATATTTTACTGTGGGCAAACTTATCTCCACCACGTTACTTAGCTGCCATACAATAACTGCAATGATATGATGGCATCTGATCTCACTGCAACACCAGCAAAGATATTATGTTTTGGGTTGCAGAAACCAAGACAGAACGGATGTTGAAGTTCAAATGTTCAAAATAAACACAGAAACAACACAAAAACAACTACTACATTAGGAAATGACAAGTATGATAGAAAGTGTAGAGAAAAGATTTACCTGCAAGCAAATCCATGTCATTTACTTAAATTGAAAGAAAGATAAGCAAATTTGCTAAGTAACCCAACCACAATGCATCATTACACACAAAAAAAACCAGCATCTTGTTTCATAAATGTATAAAAGTGTCTCCATATATAAAGACAAAAAAAAAACAGCATCTTGTTTCATTAATGTATAAAAGTGTCTCCATATATAAATGACATTATTTTTGGGCCATACTTTCATAGACATCCTGTTTCACAGAGGAAAAGGTTAAGAAGCAAATATCACGCAACACAAATTCTTAGCGTAGGTGAAACAATTGGATGGCACGACTACTCCTTGCCTTACCTGCTCGACCATTCAGAGCTGAAAACAATAAAATAACGTACCATTACGAGAAAGAGATACTTTCATCCTTTCAGAGTAGGTAACTATTTTTATTATAAACATTACGACAATAACCAATCAGTAAATCTGTAAAACATGAAATGAAGACCCACACATCTTACAGAAGGTTTTTTTATGAAGTTCAAAAATGAAATGTTTATAATTAAATCTACTGTCACAGTAGACGACCAGTAAGAGCGACGACTGATTGTAGCAACTAGAGGTTTAATGAATTAACTGAGGAAGAAACTGACATGCAAGCAGAGTTATTGGTGTCCGCTAAGAAAATTATTAAAAATTACACTAATTGGGTACTGTGCATTGTACAGATGTGTTGAAAGCAAAGGTGAAGAAATTGTTTAGTAATGACCAATGAAACCTTTAACAGCTAACAATTATTAGAACAAGGATGCATTTAAAGAGTGAAAACACAGCAATTCTGCATGCCCATAAAACTTCAAAATAAAGATGTTCACAAGCAAGGTTATGGTTTCTGTCTTTTGGGGAATTCATGGAGTGGTGTTATTAGACACCCTGCCGAAAACGTCATCAACTCACAAAAATGTAACATAATTCTAAACAAGTTTAATTCTTCTAAATGCCAAACAAAACCATATATGAACATGAAAGATCATCCTCTACCAGGACACAAACAAACAAACAAACAAACAAATATCCGAACCAATGACAAGGGAAACCCCACTTAATGGTACGTGCACCTTGTCGTGGTGGGGGGGCTTGAGTACCTCTGTGACCCCAAGAGCTACTGGTAGGGCCTCCCTAGCCAGATTGGTCGAGGGGGAGAGGTCAGACTAAGACAGGTACCCTGGTCCTCCAGGTTGGGGGTTGGTCGCAAGGCAAACAACCTTGCACCGTAAAAAGGAAGATGTTTCGAGACCTCGATCAAAGCCTCGGACAGACGGACCTAACAGAGGACCGAATGGAAGAGGAGAATTGAGGAGGCCATGGACAGGATAGCCATAGAAGAAGATGATTCGCACATTCACTCAAGTATTGAAACCACCATACAATGGGGAAAAATAAGTGTAGAAACATTTTAATACATTAGCAATAGAAGAAGATGATTCCCACATTCACTCAAATATTGAAACCACCATACAATGGGGAGAAATAAGTGTAGAAACATTTTAATACATGTTCTTGCTAATTATTACCACATGCTTCCATTTAATTGCAGAAACAACTGAGAACAGCACTTCTATTATGACTCCTCATATTTTTAACCAGAAAATACTCAGTGCAATGCATTTTAAGAAAATGAGCTGTCATTTCAGTCACAAAACATTATCTTCTGCAGTTTTCCTTGTACACTTCAACCACTGATTGTACAAGCTATGTCATAAATGTTTCATTAAGTATTTGCACGTATTACAGAGTTTCTGTGCCTACCTATTTATCACGTAGGAAAGTATCATCATACCTGGAGCCTTCATATGGACGGGAGGAAGTCGAAAGTCTGAACCTTCGAGACTAAGTGATCGTTGCCTTTCGAGCGTCGAGGGGAGGTCACTGATTCTAAGTGACATCTGACGCTTAAATGGAGAGGATTGATTTAACTGCTGGAACCCTCGAAATGAACCTTGGCGCTGCAGCATCGACACTGTAGCGTGTGGTCTTTCGATGGCATATGGATTAAACACGGCCTTTGCAGGTGGTGGTTCTGAAACAAACATCCATGAATAAATACAGAGCAGAACTTGTTTACAATTACTGCTTGTTGTTCTTAAATATGAATACATCACACTTTCACATGTAAATCCTCTTAAAATATTCTGTTGCATGCATACTACTAACCTATAGGTTTCATTTCCTGTGGATCCTGCAACCTTTCTGTAATTGAAGATTGCCTGAAGCTACCGGTTCTCGTGAATGTTGAGTTCTTAGGATCAAATGTCATTGTAACACCACACTCCTTATCCCTCCGCTGTTTCCGTTCCAAGCACGCTGCAAACGCACAGCCTACGGCATGACTTAGCCGTTCACCCTGCGTGTAATAAAACAAATTAAATGAGTCAAACTGTTAAGAGTTGCTAAGAAAAGATTCCTGAAATTACAGGGACAGACAATTTTCATACCATATTTTCACACATGACAAGAAAAAACTGGTGCAAAGGTAATGAATTCCTAAGACAAAGATGCCTGAAGACTAGCACCACCACAGAACTTCATGCTGAAAACTTACCGATTCCTTCAATGCAAGGAAGCCGTGACACATCCACCGCCTTGTTGTGCCATCTCGACAGATGTAAGAAAAACCTTTCTCATGATTCCGATCTGGGGCACAGAACGAAACTTTCTCAATTGTTTGATCCACAATTAGTCCCTGATAAAATAAGCAAAATACATATGTAAGACATTACAGAAAACAATCTTTAACTTCATTTACTTTAACATATCCAAAGGACACTGCTGCATCTTTGCATCAGAATGTTTAGAAAAAAATCATCTTTTTCAATCTGCTCTGGGACAGGTGCAACTAACATATAATGTTTAGATCACACATGCATCCACTGATTCACACCTTACATGGCAAACACGTGCATCTCAAAAATACAGTGTTACTTGGTGTGATGTAATCAAGAAAAACTAGACAACGTGCATCTCAAAAATACACTGTTACTGGGTGTGATGTAATCAAGAAAAACTAGACCTTCATAGATACAAAGTGTTTTCCTTTTTTATATATTTTATTTCCTCACTGAATGGTACCTGCACCTTGTCGTGGTGGTGGGGCTTGAGTACCTCAGTGACCCCAAGAGCTACTGGTATGGCCTCCTTAGCAAGACTGGTCGAGGGGGAGAGGTCAGACTAAGACAGGTACCCTGGTCCTCCAGGTTGGGGGTTGGTCGCAAGGCTAACAACCTTGCACCGTAAAAAGGAAGATGTTTCGAAACCTCAACCTCAGACAGACGGACCTAACAGAGGACCGAATGGAAGAGGAGAATTGAGGAGGCCATGGACCGAACACGGACCAGAGAGCCATAGAAGAAGAAGATATCTTTTATTTCAGAACCTAGAACATTGCAGCTATGAAATTCCTCAACAGCGTTACTTTTAACTTTTGTGGTTGATTGGCTCAGCACCGATACACATTCTAAATTAAGTTATACCTTAGTTTCATCTTCTACAACTCTGAGGCCATCTCCAGAGACATATAAAATTGCTTTAACTGGTCTTCGCCTGGAATTCTGAAAACAAGAAACACAACATTACTTTTTTATATTGTTCTGTCAGTGGTATTTTGCCTAAATAGTTAGGAAAATGTGTTACCTTGGATTACGTTATCATTCACTATGTTTTCATTTGGCATATTCTGTGAAAATGAATGCAGATCCATCTGGACAAATAAATATGTCAGTAGCAGAAGCAACGCTCACATCATTAGCTTCAGTTATTCACCTTACTTCGTGTGTTACGCTAAACATGTTCCCAACCTTCCTTAAATGATTTCCATTACTTAGGCATATAACCATAAGCAGGATTCCCATAACAAACTTTAACTCTCTTATAATTTTCAGACTCTTTTCCAGAAATTTAATGATGACACATACTGACATAAAACTAGTCACACAGGTATATCAATCACGCTGCTCGACTGACCAGGATTGTTGCGACAGCCAACCATCACACCAAAAATATACCACTTCTAATAATGAATGACTCTCTATGTCAAAACTGACTGCTATGTCACTTCAACATAAAGAATAACATTAATATTTTTATGGCTCAGGTTGCAACGAAACCCTTACGTAAATAACAACTGATTGTTCTCTGCGCATTTCTTGTTTGGTTCAGTGTGATTTAGTTGACGATAATGGTGCCATTCTTTGAGCAGCCAAGGATTCTTGCCGAATAATCACATTTCTACTCTTCTATATGCTCAGACTATTCTATATGAAATAAGAAAATTCCCACTTAACAGAAGTGCCAACAGATTAATACAAATAGACAAAAAAATTAACTTACCCTTAATACTTTCAAGGCTTCTTCACAAACTTGCATCCCTCTTGACTCAAAGACTTCAACACAACCAAGATACTGAACAAGAATAAAAACCACGTTAGTAAAACAAAATAATATTTGGCATTATTGCTGTATTTATCTATTGTCTGTTGATTTACGTTGCAAGACAATTTTGTGATGACTACCAGCATACAATGTTCAATTAAGACAGACAATATGTGTATGTATCAAGCCACATTAATTCGTTATTTGTCATACCAAATAAGCAATTACAAGGCACCTTACAATATATATGCAATCAGAGTATCGTAATTTATACGTATATTATTAAATATGTTATAATGCTTTGGGGGGTCCGCAGTGACCGCGCGGTCTGAGGCGTGGGCCTTGTGCTGCTTGGTCGCTGGGACCGTGGGTTCGAATCCCACTCAAGCCATGGATGTCTGTCCGCGTTTCTCTGTGTCGTGCTGTCCTGTGCACAGGTAGAGGCCTCGCGACAGGCCGATCCCTCGTCCAAGGAGTCCTACCGAATGTCTACAGATCGAGCCGACGAAAAGTTGGGACCCGCAGTGTTCAGGCACTTGAAGAACGGGTCGTTCCCAGTATCCCAGTTATAATGCTTTAATGAGCAAACAATTAGTGAAGACCATCCATTTATGTAAATCAGTTTGAAAAAGCAATGTTCAATGGAAAACCAAGTACAAAAGAGTGCATATTTTTAGAGACTATGTAAAGGATTTAAAAGTATTAAACAAATTCCAAGGAAAATACTTCTCTTGCACACATTTGGCAGATGCATTTTCTGATTTACATAAGTAGATAGAAGAAGAGGGGCTGAGACCATGTTGTATAAGGAACATAGTGTACCTTGACATGAAAGTTGCAGGTCCCAGCACGGACTCCAGCCTCATCAGCCTGCCACTGATGGGGCTTGGAACTTTCCGGTACGTGCTCCTTACGGCGCCGGAAACTGTCACGAAAACTCCGTCGTAACCTGTCCATCCTGCGTGGGGATGTGCCCTTTTCACCCTGCACACAGACAAAAAATGATATAGGGAATTTTTATTAATTCCTAATAGCCAAAATAACTCAAATGTAATAATTAACATGTCAATGTTGTAATTGCAAACTAATTATTACTCTGAATCACCACTGCCAAGATTGTTTATGAACAGCAAGCAAAAATGTTTCACTCCACAGAGTGTGCAAAAAGTTACATTCCCAAAACTATGTATACACACATTCAATAAATTACATAAAAAGCTGTCCCACTATAACCCATGTAGGCGCTTGGGGGGAGAGGTTAGGTCCTACCCATTCTTGACCTCAGCAATGGATGGGAGTGAGTGGTCAGCATCATGCCCCGGCTGCACTTTACCCCCAGAACTGGTCTGGAGGCAGTGGCTAGAGGAAAAATCCTCTGCCCCCGTCGGGGATCGAACCCCGGTCGTCCAGTCCATAGCCAGTCACTGACTGAGCTACGCCGGCTCCTTGAATTACAAAAAGACATTTTAAAAAACTAAATCATTACATACGTCAGCATTGGCACAAAGGGAATTAACGAATCTAGTGTTGGTGATGAAAACGACCACCGTTAGCAGCGGTGAGCAACTGACTGACAAATGGCCATCAAAGTTGCTGCTGTGTATACATATTTTTGGGACACACCTTATACTGTTATGCTTGAAGACACACAGAAGGGAACGCCTCCGCATTAAGCAAAAGTGCTAGAAGGAGAACTAGTGATACAACACAAAACAACAACAACAACGCCATTAACAACAATAAGTATTCAAATACATAAAAAAGTAACTTACAATTTTTGCCATAAATGAAGCAGTAATGTCTCCCCCCTGCCACTACTTCAATGTCCTGCCTTTCCAAGTCATTAACACAACCCACTTGCAAATCAAAGCCCCACTAAAAGCTCTAAATATTGCTTCTATTTACATTAAAGCTGATAGTTGACTATTTCTTCTCATTTCATACCAACAAGACGTCGGCACTGATGACTAATGTCTAATTATGAGTTGTTAAACATTAACGTTACAACCCAAATACTTCAACAAACTGCAAAAAGGTCAAATTAATTCAACTAACTTCCTTACATTCTGCGCGTCTGTTGTTTATCACAAAGAGAACTGAACCTTACCGGATGTGGTTCAGTATTACTGGCCGACTGTCGCTAATTGCATATGAGATCCAGAACCAGAGGAGCCTCAGTAAAGCAATGCGCTGGACACTGGAAACCCCGATGATACGTAATGACAACAGCAGAAATACAAGCAATAACCTCACAAATGCCTGGAATACCAACACCCGTTCTGTGACTTAATATTGGTTGGGCCATCCTCTTTCAGTTCATTAGCGCCACGCATTCCTTCGATATGCGATGTCTGCAGTGAATTGTATTTCTAGTATAGTCGGCGTAGTAGTTTTTGGCCGGTGGAGCTGGCGGACGGGCCTACTCTATGTACCTGAGGTGGCGCGGTTGGCATATTTCTTTTGTTTGGGCGTTCAGTCCGATAGGCTCCTCGGTGCAGTCAGCATTATACTACCGCTCAAGAGACTCGCTCCTAGCCTTCCCCTTGAAAATTCCACCGGCCAAAAACTATTGCACCGACTACATCTCAAAGTATGCTACTGACACCGAACCATCTCAAGCTCATCTAAATAACATTTAAGAATTCAGTCTGTGCCGCAAAGTAAACACAACAGTTCACAACTACAAAGATCAACTGGTCAATACTCCAAAGGGGAATAAATCGCTGTTTACACTGACAATGATTCTTAACAACAACAACAAAATACAAAGTGTTCGCAAAATGGAGAGTTAGTGGTGTCAAGGCAGATGGTAGAAACAGGTAGCACTGGGTTTGAAAGGGTTAATTATTTCAGTATGTATATAATCAGTGACTCAGATTACGTAAGACTGTTGCCGGTGTGTACAGACAGCTACTCCACCGACCGACACTGCAGAGAACATGGTTCCTGTTGATGGCGCTGCCCTGGCTCGTAAAAGCGTCCACATTTACGGAGACGCGTGGGACGGAGCACGAGTAGAATGTACGCATCTTTGCAAAGTGTACGACCGAGGTTCAATCCCCGGTGACAGCACGCCTTTTTCTCTTAACCAAAGGGGCTCACCTAACTGCCTATCCTGTGACTAGGAGGTGGTGAACAAATCATTGACCTCACAGATCAATGCTCTGGTAGATACTGACCGATCTTTCAAGGGTACTTACTGTCTCCATAACCAACACAACTAGTTTAATAATAACAGAGGAAGTAGGCATCTCTGAAACGTCGGTTAATATCTACACGACTCCTTGGGGGCAACATCCCAGAAGATAGCCAATCTTAATACTCGTCGCCGTGAGAACCTGAAATCTCAGATTTCCTCAATTTGTTTATCAAAATCTAAAATGTTAATTTCCATTGCCCCTACAATTCAGTTAAATATAAAAGCTTCAATTTTATAAAATACAGGTAATGTCTATTTTCGAAAGTAATAATTGTCAACGGACCACCCAATATGACCCAAACCACGGTAAAATGCAGTCTCTAGCCACACTTCGGAGGCGATACCATGGTCAGACACTGCGTAATAGCACATGGGCATGGTTTGCCCTGCGTACTTATTTCCTGGCTACTGCTGCTTCCGGACTCAGTCCGAGGCAAGGCCTCTTCTTCTTCTTATTCTCCCTCCCAGCCGGCATCCCGATCTCTACGTCTCTGACGAACTGGAAGTGATACGTCGCTTAACACTTTGCAGGTCAGTGGTAAATATGTGCACCACCTGTTTTTAATCAACGATTCCACACTTTGCCCACGGAGGAGTTTCTTAAGATTCTCAAAGAAATATCTATCATTTCTTTGAACAGTTTTTACCATCCGATTTTGTAATGGTGACGTGTTTCTCCTTTGAGGCACGGACTTAATTTTTAATATTATTTTGAGGAGACTGGGCTTCAAAGAGTTCGTCAGACTTCATGGTTGCAAGCTACCTCCCTTCAGAAATCCCCTTTTCAAGACTACCGATGCCTGTTTGATGCCCAAATCTGCTGCTTGGAATCGTCGCACAGATGCGTTACGCATATTACATAACATACAGGGTGTCCCAAACAGATGTATACACACGAGGTTAATAATATTCCGTATTATTAGCTCTTTCTAATAGACCCAAGTGGCTAAGCTGTATGGTTCTGCCTGACGATGGAGGCAGGGTCAGCTTCCGAAACATCGAGGTTTTTTGGGTTTTTTTTTGTTTGTTTGTTTGTTCAAAGGCGAAGAAAATGTTCAAGGATGTACTTCATGTTAATGACACGATAAAGAATTAATATTTTCAATGTCAGACTTGCCAATGGGTTGTGGCTACATTCGTAACCCATACTCGATCGAGATTTTCCGTTCAGCCAACCTGGGCTCATTAAATATCGCAGCTGGTATAATTTTATATGCGGTATAATGGGAGAATACGCAGATAGGTCGCATTAACGGAGCAACGACGGCTGGGTATACCAGAATGTTACTGCTAAGACCAAGCTTTATTTAAAGAAGTCTCTACTGAATCTATTATCACTAAACAATACGCAATTCTGTCTGACACATCCGGGGCGGTTCCCACTGGCAGGATAGGTTGCACCTCTACCTTGCTACTCTAAGAGCATGTGAAAAGTGCTCCAAAAAATAAAATAAAAATTCAATGAATGAAGTAAAATCATTTCAATAAAGTTTACATACGATAGTATTGGGAATTAGCGAATCTAAGGAAGGTGTTCAAAATGGCTACCGTTAGCTTCGTGGCACAGTTGACAGCGGCCATCAAAGTCGCTGCTGTGTATATATCTTTTTGGGCCACTCTGTACATAAGCACGCATTTTTATGGCCAACAACTCCAGTGCTGCTAGAGTACACAACTTTCACATAGCAGAAATGGACCAGAGGCGCGGTCATCCCATTTGAAGCGTGTGGAGCCCTTCCAAATCCGTTATACGGATGTTTATACTCTCAGTGATTATTAGTAACGCCGATACTAAAATAACAGCGAAATTTCATACCGTGTCGTAAAACAGCAATAAAAGTCAGTCGACTGAAGCAAAATGTTTATGGATCATTTTTCAGGACCCGAGCGATGAAAAATTATGTTTCGAGCAAGTAGGGGGGTGTGGTATTCAAAACGGTACACAGCTAAAGAGATTCGCTTTGAAACTAATACAGGCCCAAGGAGAGACCATGACATTTACTCGTTGAACAAGACTGTTGTAGTCTATGTGCCTAATAATTTTGAAGCCAAGAATAGAAAAGATCTTGTTCAATCCGCATTCATACTTTTTCTTTGCAAGAAAATTACAATATAACGTATTCCTGGCAACACCCTCAATAATTAATAATATGAAAGTCTGATTTAACAAAAAGAATACGAGATTAAAAATTAATATAATACATTTAAAACATTGCGTTTAATTTTTGTTCGTTGTTAATAAGAAACAAGGATACTAATGGCGTAATTCAAGATTTGGACTCACTACACATTCCCGTCTTCTGTAATGTTCCCAGACTTCTCCACTTACGTCTAACCGTGAATTATGTTTAGAACTTTGAATTCCAGTCCTGAAAACTCCTTGACTCCATTGCAATCCGTCTCCATTTGGGGAGAAGATTGGTTTGAGAATGAAGATTCACGAGTCGAACTGCCTCCATGCACTGTCGATCCAAAGATCATTTCGACTTTGGGGGCGGTGTGAGAAATGATAAACTGGTCGACTGACGTCAATTCTGGTGTTCTTCATACGTCACAAACAACAACGACTGGTTTCAGCGTGTCGTATCCGCTGTTCATTTGCATACGTTCCTCGATTTCAAGGAAGAACACAGATCTAAGGCGTTTGAGAACGCAGTGCTTACAAGAATGTTTGAACCCGGGACTGATTAAGTGACAGGAGGCTGGGAAAAAGAATCACAATGAGGCGGTACATGATCTGTGCTCTTCACCAATTATTATTATTATGAAGATGATCAAATCAAGG